AGGGTCGCTTGTTTGCCCCTGTCACCCCCTCCAAGTGGCTGCCGGTGTACAACCCGGAGGTGGTGTTGGCCTACCGAGGCAAGAAGCGCCAGGAGGCCCCTCCACACATCTTCTCCATCTCTGACAACGCCTATCAGTTTATGCTGACTGGTGAGTTGCTTGATTTCCTTTGAACTGCTCTTGCCATCATTTATCTTTAGAAAGAGATGTAGGGTATTGTCTAGAAATATGGTGCAACATTTATAATATTGTGTGTGAAATTAATGGATGATTAACGTAATTAACTGTAATGGTCTATGTGAGCTGAGTGTCTGTGTTCCCACTAGAATTAACAAAGACCTGGACCTAAAGAAAATGATCCAGAATGAGTAAATTCACTGGAAAGAAGAAACCTGTTTTCTGGCATAGACTTTACTGACTGTAATGGGATCTTACATATATGCATAGGTTTATGTATCTTAATCACTAAACTAGTCTCAGCTGGAGAGTACAGGGTACAATAATATCACACATATCCTATAAATGATGTGTATAGAGTCAATTCAAATTTTCAAGCATCAGTAGTAACAAGTAAAGCAGAGTATCTCTGCATTGAGTGGGTACATAAGCTTCACTTGAATATTATGCCAATGGCATTCATAATGGAAAAGATGACTGTGCAGTCTAAAGTACATAGAGTCTCTGCAGCCCCTACACAGATCTATGCAACTGTAAATCAATTTCACCTTACAGTGAAAAGTAAGCCTCAGAAAACAATCTCAAGGATAAAATAAAACTTTTAGCATTTAAACTGAATGGCTTTCAAAAGTTTCATTTTATTTTTTCCTCTTTCTTCCACCTCTGATTTTCTTTTCCTATGTCTGCATTGAAATCAAACGTGCAGGATTTTAGATCTGGGAAATAGATCCAGAATAGAAAAATGAAAAATTAGCCTTATCTATGTATGATCTCAGGAATACATAACTTCCGTGTATATAGGGGTTCAAAAAAAAGATGAAAAATAGTGAAATAGGCTGGTCAGACACTTCTGTTGTTCATGACGCCTCCAAATTTGCAGAAGATTACGCAGGAAAATTTTAGCTTCGTGCTGTCAAAGACCAACCTCAATATTTTTGTTGTTTGTATTTTCCTAATAAGCGAGAAATAAGTAGCCTGATAAGAAGACAACATCTTGAAAGGCATAAGACCACAAAAGCTACTCTGAAGTGATGTTTTACTGATACAGTTGATAATACCTGAAGTACTGCTGAGATCATAAAAATTACTCACTGGAATTGCCAGGGCTTTTTTTTTTTTCTGTCCCTGCATCCTATGCTTCGGTTCATATTTTTCTCCTAGTTTTTGAGTTCTTTGTTATTCATAAGCAATAGGAAAAGCTTTCTGATCTCTGCCTCTTTCACAGATCGCGAGAACCAGTCAATCCTGATCACGTATGTACTCTCTCTGCTTGGGTCCCTGTGGGTCTGCCGGGTGCCAGGGGACCTCCTGCCTGACCACACGCTCTCTGCTTCTCTCTTTGGTTTGACAGCGGAGAATCCGGAGCAGGGAAGACTGTGAACACAAAGCGTGTCATCCAGTACTTTGCAACAATTGCAGCGAGCGGGGAGAAGAAGAAGGAGGAACAGCAGTCAGGCAAAATGCAGGTGAGTCAAGAACAGACTGAATGCTAGACATGTAATTGCCATGTCAGCTAAAGACTGTATCTGCATATTATCATCCTGCAGGGAACGCTTGAGGATCAAATCATCAGCGCCAACCCACTGCTGGAGGCCTTTGGAAACGCCAAGACCGTGAGGAATGATAACTCCTCACGCTTTGTAAGTTATTGCTTTGGACAAAATCCCTCCTCATAATAGTAGTGATGGGTTAGCCGTATTCTCACAGAAGGACATGGCAATGAAATACATCCAGGCTGCAATGCTTCTTCTTCTGCTTCACAGGGCAAATTCATCAAAATCCGCTTTGGAGCCACAGGCAAACTGGCTTCTGCTGACATTGAAACTTGTAAGAGACTCTCCTGGCCTGATCCCATTCCTTCCCAGATTCCCACCTCCATGTGCCTTCCTGTGCCTGACTATTTCTCCGTTCCTTGGCAGATCTGCTGGAGAAGTCCAGAGTCACTTTCCAGCTCAAGGCAGAAAGAAGCTACCACATATTTTATCAGATCATGTCCAATAAGAAGCCAGAGCTAATTGGTAGGAAGCACACTAAATTTTTTGAAGAAAGTTCGCTGAGCTCATTGTGTCATCTGGAAAGCTAAAATAAGCTTATTTTTTCCCTTTCCTTGCTTTCAGACATGCTCCTCATTACCACCAACCCTTATGATTTCCACTTTGTGAGTCAAGGTGAAATCACTGTTCCCAGCATTGATGACCAGGAGGAACTGATGGCTACAGATGTAAGTAACTTAAGAATCAAGTCATCTGGTAGGTAAGAGCTGCAGTACATACATTTCCTTTACTACTTCTGTTTCCAGAGTGCCATTGACATCCTGGGCTTCACTGCTGATGAGAAGACGGCCATCTACAAGCTGACAGGGGCTGTCATGCACTATGGGAACATGAAGTTCAAGCAGAAACAGCGAGAGGAGCAGGCAGAGCCGGATGGCACAGAAGGTATGAGCAGATTCAGCAAACTTTCCAAAAAAGATTGTCTTTGTCACTAAGAGAAGGACTTAGGCAAATTTCAGGCTTTCAATGTGCAAAATGGAAACTAAAAAAACATTTGTTCAATGGCTAGATGGGAGCTGAGACACATATCTCATCTAATGATACTTGTAATTTTATTCTGTGAATACTTAATAAATAAGAGATCTGGTGTAAACTGCCAGGAAGCCACGAGGCATGGCTGTCAATTCTGGTAGCATTACTAGTGATACTTTTGTTGGAATACACCTTGCAATCTCGGTTGTGTTGTGGAGTAGTGAAGTGGTTCAGCCCAAACAGGATGGAGGACTGTGTTCCTATTCACCCTCACCTATTGGAGGGAACCCCGATGTGAGATGTGTCTTTGATTAGTCTCTGTCACACCAGGAAGTACAATCCATGCCTCCAGCTCTCTGAGTGATTAATCTCTTTCCTATATGACTGGAAATAAAGTGTAAAGGCCCATAGTCGTACCTGAAAAAGGATGAAAGCAATGAGTTTTCTTGAAGAATATCTGTAGAAACCAAAGCTCAAAAAGTATTGTAGACTCTGAATCCTGAAGACAGCAGAGAAATTAGCTTTGTAGCTTTGACTGAGATATTTTTGTGCAGCTCTGTGACAGTGAATACTGCTCTGAATTTTGAGACAGTCTCTCAAGGACTAAATTTCAGGAATTGTCCAGTATCTATTTCACTCTCACTCTTTTCTTTTATTTAGTGGCTGACAAGGCTGCCTATCTGATGGGTCTGAACTCAGCTGACCTGCTCAAGGCGCTGTGCTATCCCCGAGTCAAGGTGGGGAATGAATATGTAACCAAGGGTCAAACTGTGCAGCAGGTAGGAAAAGTTTGGTAACCTGGAACATGCTTTGATGATTCCTATTGATTCTCCTCTCCTGTGTACAGTAACCTCCAAACCCTTCTCCTTGCTTTAGGTGAATAATTCAGTGGGTGCTCTAGCGAAGGCTGTCTATGAGAAGATGTTCTTGTGGATGGTTGTTCGTATCAACCAACAGCTGGATACCAAGCAACCCAGACAGTACTTCATTGGTGTCCTGGACATTGCTGGCTTTGAGATCTTTGATGTAAGGAACACAGTTTTCCTAGCATTTTCATGGAAGGACAATTGAGAGTAAAGGGAATTTTGAGACACATTTTTAAGGGAAGTTAGTATCTTCCTACACTTATTTGAAGGGCTTTTGGAATCACCTTTTTTAGTCCTGAAAAAAAGCCTCCAAACCCCTAATCTCCTAATTACACTAAATTTGAAACCTTCTCTTTTCTCTAAATGGAAAACCTGTGCTAGAGAGATAGCATAGGAAGACTACACAGGAAGACGCCTTGTATTTAAAGTATCACCCATGATGAATTAGGATTGCACAAGAAAACACTTTGCTATAATTGTTGAACCTTGAAAATGTTGCATTTTTTTATGTCTGGCAGTTCAATAGCTTTGAGCAGCTGTGCATCAACTTCACCAATGAGAAACTGCAACAGTTCTTCAACCACCACATGTTCGTGCTGGAGCAGGAGGAGTACAAGAAGGAAGGAATTGAATGGACATTCATTGACTTTGGGATGGATCTGGCTGCCTGCATTGAGCTCATTGAGAAGGTATCCTTCCTGTCCCAATTGTATTAAATGCTGGGTCTTCCATATTTGCCAAGAGACATACCTAAGAATCATGTTAGAATATTGCAGCTTTTCCACATATATATCCTGTGAAAGTGGCAACAGGGTGGAAGCACTTTTGGAGGTCATCCTCAGATATCAGGACTTTTGGTGAGAGTATTCATTTCCAGACTACAGAATGAAGTAATACAAAAAACTGTCATGTTCTGTAAGTGCCTATGAGTAAAGAAGTTTTATAGAGAGGGCAGTATTTCTCAATGTGGTATATGTAATTTTTTCATAAGCAAAGGCTTTTACGTAAGTTCAAATGAAAGAGCAACACTGAAAAAAGTTGAACCTTAGTTAATTTTTTCTGACTTAGTGTCATGAAACACAGGAACAGCTTTCTCTTCTGACTAAAGAAACTTCCCAACCAAGCTATATCTCCTTTCTAATCTGTTTCTCCCTCTTGTCTGTTGTAATGTCTTCCAGCCTATGGGCATCTTCTCCATCCTGGAAGAGGAGTGCATGTTCCCCAAGGCAACTGACACCTCTTTCAAGAACAAGCTCTATGACCAGCATCTGGGCAAGTCCAGCAACTTCCAGAAGCCCAAGCCTGCCAAAGGCAAGGCTGAGGCCCACTTCTCCCTGGTGCACTATGCTGGCACAGTGGACTACAACATCTCTGGCTGGCTTGAGAAGAACAAAGACCCTCTGAATGAAACTGTCATTGGGTTGTACCAGAAATCATCTGTGAAGACACTGGCCTTACTCTTTGCCTCCTATGGTGGAGCAGATGCAGGTCAGCTCTGTGAAAACTGTATTTTCAATGTGTGACAATGCTGACGCAGAATTAAAGCAGTAAACATTAAACATTTAAAGTTGTTTTGTGTTTGGTAGTCTCCAGTATGCAACATCCATATTTTAATACTTTTTTTCCTTTTCTTCCATTTGCAGAGGCTGGTGGTGGCAAAAAGGGTGGCAAAAAGAAGGGTTCTTCTTTCCAGACTGTCTCAGCTCTTTTCCGGGTACAATACTGCATTTGTTATCTCTTTGTAATATGAAGAAAGGGGGTGAGCTAATATTAAATTTGAAAGAGCTATTTTGCATTGCTTTAACAGTGGTAAAATTATTTGGCAATTCCATATCAAGTTTTCCAGGATCAATTTCAATATTGCTAATATGCCATGTTCAAAAATAAGCATTCAGTCTTCAGAGATCATGAAAATCTTGTGGTTTGTTTGTTTGTTTGTTTGGAGAGGATATTATTCAGATCTTTGCATTTTCATGTCTTTGTGTCAGGCTAGAACTATGTTTTTCACATTCCTGCATTTTTGTGAGGTTGATATATTGGGGAATTGAGAGCCTACTTATAAACAGTCTCCAGGAGGTATTTATCTTATTTGGAAAAACCCCACTTTTTTATCTTAAGTAGATTGACTTTAGAAGGCAGAACATGAAAAACCTAAAAGTTAATTACTTTGTGTGAAAGTGTGAAATTGTATGTTTCCACTGGATCAATAGCAACATAGTTGTATTTCAGTCTTTAAAAATAGTCTTCAATAATTTCAAATGGAAGAAATATTTGGTTTCCGTGGCTTTACCTAAGTGTTCTGAAACCCAGCTAATTTTGAGAAGTCGTAAAGTCATTACCACGGGCTTGATGCATCAAACACTGGACATTGGAAACTCATGTTACTAACTGGTCCCTCTAGGAGAACTTAAACAAGCTGATGACCAATCTACGGAGCACTCACCCCCATTTTGTCCGTTGCATCATCCCAAATGAAACAAAAACTCCTGGTAAGACACTCAAGCAGAAAGAGAACTTGCTCTGATACATCCATTCCCCTCTGCACTGGGAACTGTGGTGTTCATTTATGCTCTGAACTGCTAGGTGCCATGGAGCATGAACTGGTACTTCACCAGCTGCGGTGTAACGGCGTGCTGGAAGGCATCAGAATTTGCAGGAAAGGTTTCCCCAGCAGAGTTCTCTATGCTGACTTCAAACAGAGGTAAAAGCAGTGCACTTCTCAGCATCATTCAAAACAGTGTTGCTTCATTCGTATAGGTTCATTCAGGCTGGGCTCTGTTGTCAGAAATAACTATATATGAGCTGGTGGGGTTCAGTAGC